AACGTCCTATGCTAATGAAGAAAAAAGGGACACTAGTGGGCGGGGCTTTCCCTTCTGATGACACATACGAAGGGAAAATGCCAATCAAAGTGTTTCTGCAGACAGATGTGACTTTGACTTGCCTAAACTCCCAGTGAAGCTTTCAGCATTCCACCAACAAGTCTTACTATCTTGGAAACTAGCGCACACACACAATTTTACACCTCACAATACCCCTATTTGGAATAACAAGTATATTCTACACAGGAACAAATCCATTTTTTATGAAGAATGGTTAAATAAAAATATTTGGTCAGTAACAGACTTAATGGATGGAAGGGGCAATATTCTAGATTACAATACTTTCACTCTAAGACACGGATTTGCTTGTCATCCAAAGCAATTTTTCACTGTTATTAATGCTATACCCTCAGGTATAAAAATGTTAATGAAAAGTTACCTATCCTATTCGAAAATTACTCCAGTTCTTCCCTTATTATATACTGGTGAGATTGAATTTGATAATAAACTTTGCACTAATAAACATTTAAGACAAATTATTATCCAATCTTGTTTCCCTTATCAAGTATTAAGAAATATGTTATTTCATTCAGTGGATAAAAATACTGTTAAATATTTTAGAACAACATATCTTAAATTTCCAATTCTCCCCAAGGCAAAAGAAGTACAATTTAAAATATTAAATGATATATACCCTTCTAATAGATTCTTACACCTAAAATTTAACTTAGAAAACTCACCATGCCATTTATGTAAACACTTTAGTGAAGACACAGAACACATATTTTTCTCTTGCAGTGCCGTTCAATCATTTTGGAAAAAAGTACAAGACTGGTTAATAATAAAAAACGTGGATGCTGAAGGTTTGACTTTTACATTACAAGAATTACTATATGGAATTACTAAAGATTGCTCTACTTTGCACGATTTGATAAATATGATAATTGTGTTAGCCAAATATTTTATTCATAAATGTAGATATTTCAAAACACCTCCATTACTTATTGTATTTAAAAAAGAACTTAAAATATTTCCAGATGCCCTGGTTAAAATGAAAACAAAAATTGCCTTAAAAATGTTCAATTTATTTGTAGTATATAACTTGCCATAGATGATATATATGTTGTACTTAATTTTTATTTATTTATTTATTTATTTAATTTTTGCGTTTTCCTTTCACTCTTGGATTTATTTTAACTTGAATGTTTTTGTATATTACATTTGTATCTTTGTATATTATTTTGTGTTGAGCCTTCCATATATGACACACAAGTTGGAAAGTTGAATCCCATTTTGTTGTATTTGGATTTTGTAGTTTCAATAAATAAATAAATTAAAAAAAAAAAAAAAAAAGTGTTTCTGCAGACTGTTTTTATTAAGTGTGATTATAAAAAATTTTATTACTTCATTTTTACCACTAGATGGTGGTTATATTCACAGACAGCTGCCACACAACCACCTTTAGTATCTGCTGTAGAATCAAGCATTGTAAAATTCAACGTTTTTTTTCGGCATTTGTTCAACAAAAATACTTATTGTGATTTAACTTAAATTCTATAAAATAAATAAATAAAATATGAAATATGTTTTTGCTCAAAAACACCCAGTTCCACAGCTTCAATTTTTCACCAGACAATAATAAAAACACCTTAAAAGCTGTAGATCTTAAATACACACAATATTAACAGTAATGCATATACATATATCTTTTTGTTTTAGATATTATATTACTATTTTTTCAACTGTATATATTTTTACTTTAGGATAGAAAATGGTTATAGGATTCATTTTCTGCAATGTCTGTAAAATATAAAGCAAGCGCTGCCTTGGAAACACCATAAAAAGCATGAAGATCTTTGACAGTGTGAATGAAGCGTCTCTGGTGTCCTACCAGTGATTGGACTGCAGGACTGGGCTCTCGTTCTGGGCGATGTGGTATAAGGCACTCATAGCATTCATGTTAAACAAGGGAGGCTTTCTCTCCGCTACAGTAGAGGAAAAGGAAACAAGCAAGCAGTTAGACGCAAGGCTTCCAGTCATTATGTAACTGTGCTGACAAACGATTAATGGCATCCAAAATAAACGTTTGCTTCTACATAATGTGTGCGTGATCACAGTGTATAGATATTGTGTATATAAAAATAAAACATATAAAATACACAACTAATCTACACATACACATATATACACTCATCGGCCACTTTATTAGGTACACCTTACTAGTACCAGATTGGACCCACTTTTCAATAGTGGAAATATTCCTGAGAGTTTGCTCTATATTGACATGATGGCATCACGCAGTTGCTGCAAATTTGTCGGCTGCACATCCATGATGTGAATCTCCCGTTCCAACACATACCAAAGGTGCTCTATTGGATTGAGATCTGATGACTGTGGAGGCCATTTAAGTACGGTGAACTCATTGTCATGTTCAAGAAACCAGTCTGAGATGATTTGCGCTTTATGACATGGTAGATTATCCTGCTAGAAGTAGCCATCAGAAGATGGGTATACTGTGGTCATAAAGGGATGGACATGGTCAACAATACTCAGGTAGGCTTTGGTGTTGACACGATGCTCAATTAGTATTAATGGGCCGCCCACAAAAATATCCCCCACACCATTACACCACCACCACCAGCCTGACCCGTTGATACAAGGCATGATGGATTCATGCGTTCATGTTGTTGAGGCCAAATTCTGACCCGACCATCTGAACGTCACACCAGAAATGGAGTCTCATCAGAGCAGACATCGTTTCTCCAATCTTCTATTGTCCAGTTTTGGTGAGGCTGTGTGAATTGTAGCCTCAGTTTCCTGTTCTTAGCTGACAGGAGCGGCACCCGGTGTGGTCTTCTGCTGCTGTAGCCCATCCGCCTCAAGGTTGGACAGGTTGTGCATTCAGAGATGCTCTCCTGCAGACCTTGGTTGTAATGAGTGCTTATTTGAGTTACTGTTGCCTTTCTATCAGCTGGAAACAGTCTGGCCATTGTCCTCTGACCTCAACAAGGCATTTGTGCCCACACAGTACTGCCGCTCTCTGAATACTTTCTCTTTTTCAGACCATTCTCTGTAAACCCTAGAGATGGTTGTGCGTGAAAATCCCAGTAGATCAGCAGTTTATGAAATACTCAGACCAGCCTATCTGGAACTAACTAGCATGGCTTGTTCAAAGTCACTTAAATCACCCCCATTCTGATGCTCAGTTTGAACTGCAGCAGATCGTCTTGACCATGTCTACATGCCTAAATGCGTTGAGTTGCTGCCATGTAATTGGCTGATTAGAAAATTGCATTAACAAGCAGATGGATAAGTTTACTTTTTTGTTTACTTAAGTACAAATATGTTTATTTGAAATTGCCAATTTATCTTTATTAACTTCACATGTATGTTTATTTTCAAAGTGTAGGAATTTGTGTTCCCCAGTTTGTACATGGGCTACCGGCAGCTGTGAACTTTTCAGAGTTCTTTTTTTTTTTATACAATACACCAGGAACTAGTTTTCTTGGCTTTTAAGTAAAACAAAATAAGTATTGCAATAAATCGTTTTTATTTTGTCTCCTTAACCTCTTACTGTTCCCATTCTCTATAGAATAAAAAAAGAAAAAACACGTGTCAAGCCATGAGAACCAAAGCGAAAACCTTGTTAAAAAACCGAGGTATGTATTGAACCGTAGGCTAACTGTACTGTTGCATCCCTAGTAGCAACACTCTTCTCCTAATGAAAAAAAGGTAAAACACTCCCCCCTCCTTATTCTAGCACATAATTCTCTGAGTGTTATTTGTCTCTCTTTAACTCATTGGATAAAACCGCTGCCTTATTCGCAAATGTTTTACAAAAATGTTTTGCGCATAAAGAAATTAGCATCTTTGGATGAAAAAACAGCTACTGTTTTGACTTTAGGCGCATTATAGAAATGACTCACCAAGCTCTATGCAGGTGATGCCGAGTGACCACACGTCAACCTTCCCATCATACTGTCCTTCATCCATGGCGAGAATTACCTCTGGAGCCATCCTGAAAACACAGCACAACTCCATAATTGCATCATCAATCTAACGCTTTACCACATGAAATAAAAGGTTATTAATAAAGAGTCTATTTCTGCTCTGTGTAAGGTGTTGTAATGAATAGACAGTGTTTTTCTACCAGTAAGGTGTGCCCACAAATGAGTTGGCTGGAGCAACTATGGAGGCGGATCCGAAGTCTCCCAGTTTGACCTGGCCAGGCTCTGTCAGTAAGATGTTCCCTGCTTTCACATCCCTATGACAAAAAAAAGGAATAATTTCTTCTTAGGATCTTTTCATACACAAGGCAATGCAACAAAATGTGCTTGCGTTAACAGAATCATGAATCTTACACCTTTTCTAAAGTCAGATTTAAGCACTTTTTATGTGCAAATTCAACACTTTACAAGTGACAAATTACACATTTCAATCATACCTGCCAACACTCCCGTTTTTCCTGGGATTCTACCGTATTTTACAGTTCTATCCCGCTATGATCCCATAAAGATATTTTCCCGTATTTCTCCCGTCTTTCTCTGAAGGGTGGCAAATAAACATTAAAGAGTCGAGCCTCCCTATAAGCAATCCATACCGCCGAACCACAAGGGGCCGCCCCTTGCTCCTAAATGTGAGTCTGTTCTGTACTTTCGCTTTGTTTAGGCACGAAAACACTTTGAAATAAATAAAAACGGCGCAATTCCTTTCTTTTCATTACAAGTGTCGTATCCCGTTCATATGCAATCATCAAAACAGTCATATAGCAGTGCGTGACTGTCAGCTGACGTGCTCCATACTGATAAATAGACGCCGTTTCCCAAACGGATTCTTTAGTCGTGATTTGAAGCGGAGCAAAAGTCTGGGTTTTGGGTGCTTGTTTAAACAAACATATACACATAATAAATAATATTAATATCTAAAGATGTTGATCTTGGTGAGTTTTTTTTTCAAACACAGGTAATTTCGTCCTAAATGAGCATAAACAGTTAGGAAAGCAGTCGAATGCCTTCATTATATTGTTAGGTGTGCGCATTTTTAAAGTGACACTGGTTATTTAACTGTAATCAAATGTAAAAAATCTAAATTAATCATTAATTCGTTGCTCTTTAATCAGCATGTGTTAATTATACAGTGAAGAAACGGCTAATGAGATTTGATTCAATTTCATTATAATAGCTATTAATTTTAATAAGCTGAACTGTTTGCTAATTTATTTGCTGCTGATGTACACTATTCATTTTTTCTTTTGTAAATAATAATAATGATAAAACATATTACTGACTATTTAACTGTTTTTTTATAATGAAACAGGTTTATTTAGTAATTTGGGGATTCTTAAAAGGGGGTCGGGGGAATCCCTTATTATGGTAGGCATATCCCTTACTTTCACATCCCAATGATGACAGGTATGATTTAAATACTACTTCTTCATATTATACCAGATGTCATTTGTTAAAATGTTCTATAGTATAGTATAGTACAGTATTCAAGGGAATATTTCTGATGGCATGTTTCTCAACACTTAATTTCCGTCTTAAGATTTACTTCATTAAGTTTTTTATTTTTTAATTTTCAAGCAGTTTTATGTACTTTATCAGAAACCTAAGCACTGTTCAAACTTTGAAAGTAGCAGGTTATAAACATTCAAGCTTTTCAAAGATTTCAAGCCCCTGTACGAACCCTTTTAATTAATTCAATCACACAGCTCTGTACCTGTGAATCATGTTGTGCGAGTGGAGGTACACCAAGCCCTGCAATGCACCATGGGTAATTGCTGCTATCTCCACTTCCTGTAATGGTTTCTTGTGCACTGAAAAAAGGGGAAGAAAAAAAAGTGAATTTTGTTCCTGCTTCTGCAAACTACAAATGTTCTTCCCTTCTGCATCTGACCAACTTTAAAGGCCACGGTATACTTCAAACAAAGTTCTTTATTGTACATCATTTGAGGTCAAAAAGAAGTTTGAAAAGGCTGAGTGACGATATACTGTTTTCAAACCTTCCCACACCCCCGCACTGAAGTAGGTGGGGTTATAAATGTGTCACGCCGCATGAGTAGACTGCTAAACACAACAATAATAGTGGCAGTGAGAGAAGAATAGCTTTCTCCAGTGAGGAGTACCAGTGTGATATGCCACATTGCTTTCTATTTGCTGTGGACATACACTGAATGGATAAAAACTGAGTGTGTCTCACACAGGTGAGTGGGCTTGACAAACCACCTGTTTTGCACACTTGCATTACTTTAGTGATTTATAGACAAGTAATAATACTTTAGAATCTATTCTGAATGTAACTGGGAGCCAGTGAAACAGCTGAAACTGTCTGTTTTTGGGAAGGCCAGTGAGGAGGCCGCTACAGTAATCCACCCTGCTGCTGATAAAAGCATGAACAAGTTTCTCTTCTGGAAACAAAGCATCTAATTCTTGCAATCTTTCTGAGATGATAGTAAGCTGATTTAGTTACTGCTTTAACATGACTATTGAAACTCAGATGTGACACTAGAATCACATCAAGGTTCTTGACCTTATTTTCTGCTGTTTGACCCCTAGAGCCAAGGTACGCATTTAGCTTGAGAACCTCATCTCTGTTCCCAAACGCAATGACTTCAGTTTTCTCTCTGGTTAACTGAAGAAAGTTTTGGCACATCCAACTGGTAATTTCATCAAAGCATTGGCAGAGGGTGTCAACGAGGCTGAAGTCATTATGGTGCATTCACAGAGGGCTACAGCTTCAGGGCGTGTCTGAAGTTGGGGCTGACGCGATCGTCAAAGCACCGTCAGCCAATGAAATCAGTCAGCAATGGGCTACTGTCTGAGCTGATGTATTTGCATACAGTGATCTGATTGGCTGACGCCTCTGTCGGCCCTTGAAAAGCTGAGAAAGTCCCAAATTCTGCAGCGGCGCCGACGGATCCACAATGCAATTCGGCAATGCCTGACGTCACCTGTTCAAAGTGAATGGGAAGCGTTGATGCTGACGCCCCGTGTGAATGAGGCAATAAGAAGTAAGGCTAAGTAGATCTGAGTGGCATCAGCATAGCTGTGGTAAGACATTTGGTTGTCTCATTATTGCTCAGTGGGAGCGGTTGAATAGGAGAGGTGCCAGAATTGAACCTCCGAGTACTAATAGTTCATTAAAATCTCTAAATGCCTCCCTAATTGCAAGTCATTTTTGGACAAAAAAGTCTGCAAAATGTAAATATAAAAAGGTTTAGAACTTAATCAGATTCTGTGAGACACTTGTGGTTATCGTCTGGTGTGTGACTCAGAGTCTGTAAAATCTTTCTGCGAGCAAATAGTACAGGTGCAGATATATCTGTACCAGCTCTGCTACTTGACTCTACAGTTTATTCGTGTTGCCATCTTAATGTTGTTGTTTTGGATGTTTTTCTCATGTCTGACCCTGAGTGGATGCGAAGCACATCAAAGAAGGCAGAGTTTCAGGACACACCCACTGTTTGCATGAACATCATGGACCAATGGCAGCTCAAAGGTGTTTGTAACCAAAACAAACTTCCCCCTAAAAGCTTGCTTTGGTGCCGAAACGACCGCAAAACATACTTCATTTAGTTTGAAGTCAGGCTAATTTAGTTTTTTGTTCTATTTCATTTAAAGTATACCTGAGTCTTGAATGTTTACAAGCTTGCAGAAAACTCACCCTCCAGCAAATCCGAGGCAGAGCCCAAACAGTACTCCATCACCAGCTACAAGAAAAGTAGGACAGGACGATCAATGAGTAACAGACACAGAACAGGCAAGGTGGAGGTAAAGAAAAGGTATAATTGCTGTTAGCAAGTGGCGCATGTAGCACTGCTATTGTGGTAAATGGAAACAGTGTTAGCGGGTCAGTACATTCTCTTCCCTGAACGAGGCTTAAGCAAAGCGCTCGGCCTTCCTCCCACACACTGAAACACTCACCCATGCTGTGTGTTCGCGCAGGTAGCAGCCTCTATACTCCACAGTGTTGGGGTGCCGCAGCTTTTGAAGGAACTTCACCTCTTTGATAATATCCTGCCATTTCTGCAAGAGGAACGAGAGAACAATGAACGTTTCTGCGGGCCTTCAGTTCAATCGCTGCGTTTCTGATCAGTGTGCGTAATGACAAAAAGAAAGTGTGTGTTCCTTTCAAATGTGGTGCGGTGGGATTGCAAATGAGGCGTAGCGTGGCACTTTGCATTCAAGAGTTCTGTGGTACAGTGAAGGGAGTGCTTTTCCGCCGTTTAAATGAGACAACCGTTTATTTAGGCCAGAGAGACGCTGTGTTATTTGCATAATTTGAATACAATGCCGAGACTTGCAAAGAATGGAACTTGCCAACGGTGCCAATCTATACAAAAAGCAAAGCAGGGCCGCATGTTAACTCAAAAAACACACTGGTCTAGAAATGACCAGCATTAAACTGTAATCTCATAAGAAAGCTATTCATTAAACTCTATACGGCTTGGAGTCTCATCAAACAATTGATAGTTTCTACGTCACACCACTAGGGAAACACTACTATAGCATAAAAAACATAAATAACTCCCTTTGACCTTTGCCAAATAGCATGTTAATGTTTGTGCAATAAGACATAGCATTACTAGCCGACGAGAAGACAAGTCTGGGCTGGACTTCGACAGAAATTTCTTTACAGAAAGAACAGCCAAAAAGGAGATATTTATAATTGATTTGTGCCAAATGGCAGCATTAATCCGACAATCTATAACTGGCAGTACGTTTGTATGCTTTTATACAGTATCTATTCTACTTTCCAGGTTAAGTGCAATTAAAGTACAAATTAAAATGCAGTAGTAGACAAATAGATTAACCGAAGCGAAAGAAACAGACACCAAATATAAAAGCAGACACTTGCACGCTACAACGCCGTCACCAGTGATTAAATCGAAGTGGGGGAGTGACATCTGATACGGTTCAGAGTTTGTTGTTGTATTAAAGATAAGTTGATTACATATTATATATATTATTTACATAATGCTTTCAGCGCGTCATAACAGTTATTTGACAAAATTAATGTTAAAGTGAGCGGCGTTCGTCTGACAGGTCCATTTGCGATAGCACCCTCTCTATGGATATTGGATGCGACGAAGTGGCCAAGCGTCCACCCCTAACTATCTCATTGAAACTCCAAGTGATTTTAAAAGAGAGAAGTTAAAGGCCTACAAGTCTTTGGGTGCCTGCAATTTTGTTTCGTGTGTTCATGTGTGAGAAATAATGTTCCATGACTACCAGATTCAACACTATGTATTGCTAAAAACCGAGGTTCTGTCTAGCCAAAGACAAGGAAAGAAGACTGAGCTGTACAAGGCCTGGGTAATCATCAACAAGCAAAAACAACTGCGTTCTGACAGCCAACTGCACCTGTACGGCAGGGTCTGTGAACGTACGTCTTTACATTTCATCCTTAGCATTTAGTGTCTGCAGTTTAATTAACCATATTTAACTGTTTTTGCTGAAAGCATTGCTGCAATCAAAAATGAGTAACGCGAGCGATTCAGCATAGTGTGAACTTACCTGATATAAAATAATAACTGCAGAGTCCAGCATTTTTAATTAGGTCCTCACTCCATTCAGCTCTTATGATGGCTGTTAGTCAAAACCGTCTGCGGTTGACATTAAAAGCAGCGTAGTGTACGGTAAACATTAAGTTTTCGTATTTGGCATCCTACCGCACAACACGACATGTTTGCTTTTGCAACCGGGAACCCGTGTGATGCCATGTGTGACGTAGGCTGGTAATTCCTCTATATTCTGAGCTCTGAGAGGGACATGATGGTTTTAAAGTAGAAGTGAAGCAGTCAGTCAGGTTTACGTTATTTTGGAAGTCGATTTCCACGTAAATGAAAACAAAGAACAAACTTGATTAATGTAACCATTTTGAACAAAGGGGCATGTTTTACAATAGCTTTTATATCAAGGGCAACGTCATCTTGGAATATCACACTGGCTGCATCGGAAATCGCCTACTATTCAGTAGATACTGTATTTGATTAAAAATGTCCTACACGACTGTTAGAGAAGTGCATTCTATTCAGTTTGAATGAGAGTAGTATGAATGGAATTCAGACGTACCACCCGCTACAGTTGCATTGCTTCATTCCCATTCATGAATTCTCTCACTTGGCATTATGGGATAGAGTAGCATCCATAGGATGCGCACTTCAGAATCTCGCCCGAAAAAGTAAGTCATCCGGGTACTTCTCACACACTGTTTTCCGATTTCTATGAATTTGGAAATACTACTCATACTCTTTTTAGCGTACTATATAGTATGAAAGTATGAGATTTCGGACGCAGTGACATCACAGGGTTGGTTCCAGTGTTGCCAACTTAAGCTGCATTTACGCAGCAGATCTTGATGGTCAATTCTGATTTTGTGACTGTATCCGATTTTTTAAAAACCTGCTTACATCATCTCTACGTCACTTTTAAAAGTGACTTGTATCTGATCATCTGCATTTACACAGCACACAACAAAGGCCAAGGAAAAAAAGAGCGGGCGCTGACTAACAGGTGATAATTAAAGAGTGCTCTTTTCTCTATTCCTTTATGTGATCTGTTCGCAGCTTTTGACAAGTTGTTTTACTATAGTTTACGACAGAAAGGTTCTCGTTTGTCCATTTTCTTTTGATATATAGGCTTTTTTAAACCTTTAGGCATCTTAATGTAATGTCCATGGCATGATTTATGCATGTGATGTATGCACTAGTTTTATGTAAGTTTATATGGGTTACGTGGCGGACATTGCTCTCTCTCGCTCTCATTAACATGCTTAAATACCTGTGCTATATGACAATATAAAAGCTGTTAAAGTCCTTGTGTATGAAATTTAAGGTTGGGACTGTGCTGAAGTCTGTTCTGAAATGAAAGTGTCAGATTTGACGTCATTCTCTATGGTTTGTAATGACACGCGACTCACATTAGCCCCTTTCACACAGTGATACCGGTAAATATCTGGAAAATTTCCGGAACGACTTTACCGGTATATTCAAAAAAGCGCTGTTCACACAGGCGAGGACGTTACGGAAATTTTCCGGAAAAGAGCATTCACACATCCATTCCAAAATACCGGTAAATTCTGACATCATTCACCACAAATGAGCTTTAAACGGCTGCGCTTGTATTTGTAAACATTTGACTAAATTACAAACTCTGTGGATGATCAATATTGTAAATATGTGCGTGTGCAGGCGCTCACAGGCTGTTTCACAGGCACACGCAAAGCTTGAAGGTAAACAAACAACGGCTTATCATAAGCATCTCATCGATGATTATTTACACAGTTGGCATTAAGAAGAACATATAAACGAGATCTGACTAACTTCTAGCAGCTAAATGTGTCTGGAAAAATATTCAAAGGCTTTTACTCTCATAAACCGCGCGGACGTAAATGCGTCTGACTGTTCTGATTGGCTAAAGCAGACGTCTCACGTCAGCACGTTCTAGACGTGCACGCGCTTATTACGGCAATCTTGCTTCTGCATTCACACAGCGCAGCATTCCGGCAAATTGCCGGTAATGTTACAACTTCTCTTTCCGGAAAATAGCCAGAACGAATTTACCGGTATTTTCAAAAAGGACCTGTTCACACATACAACCTTTCCGGAAAATTGCCGGCAATTTTCCGGAAAGGTCTGTATGTGTGAAAGGGGCTATTGACAGGTGAAAATCCAATCTACCTGCTTACACTGCAGACATGAGAACACAGATCCGATTCATATCGGAAAAAATTTCCACATATGAACAAGGCCTGAATCTGATTTGAGTAAATCGGAATCCATTTGATTTGTTCCTGCTTACACATACATGGGCATATCCGATCTGTGCCACATAAGAGGGCCAAAAAAATAATAATTATTCAGAATTGAGTCACTTGAACAGTGCAGTGTAAATGTGGCCTTTTGTCACTATATTAAGCAACTTTTCAGACACCCTAGTGACAAAATTTAAAAAGACGGAGAGCGTGAGGTATTTCTATGGTACAGTCAAACCGATCTGCTTCTCCTTTGTTTTAAATGTAACAATTTAACCATTTATTCTGAGATTTTAGTCACACCAGTTTCTGAACTTATGTCTCAGAGATTACAGCAAATTCATTGTACATCTACATTAATATAGTGTATTCAAACAACGATACATTTAACTAAATTGACATGCGTATTTAAAGCAAAGTGCAAATATAAATACCCCTTTATTAACCGTAGGCTGTAAACGGTTGGACGCAATAATGTTGGTAATATGCAAATTAATGTATTAACAAATGTACTGGACTGACCACAGACACTGAAAAGGCTAACTTAACACAATAAGTTTTTGGCTAATATATAAATATGTTTTCTATTTTTCTTTTTAACAAATGGCCAATGGTTTGATGCATATTTTACTGCACAAAGTAAAAACACAGCCTATTGTAGTACCTTTTATTTTTTGCACTTGGCTGTACACACAGTATCCGCATCAAAACTGAAGGCACTATAATCAGTCTGCCAACACTTTAGAACATCCTTTGTGTCAGAAACCTATCGACGATGCCTAAAAACACTTCTCAGGTAGGCAGCTACATTTATTTATTTATTTTTTTTGGAACTAAGCCATCATCTTGCTCTTACATAAAGCCACCTGCATGTTGTTCGAAATTTCTCACAGCAGGATTCTGGTACACTATGTATAGTCATCTTTCACAGCCGTAAGGCCGGTCAGTGTCTGTTTAGAATCCAGTGTAGAGATGTTAAACCCCATTAAAAGGCTGTTCAGACAGAATGCGGTTTTCCCTTCCAATGCACTACTTTTCTATTGTTTTTTAATGTAAACACATGCTTGACTGACGTGTTTGACCATTATGTTCACATCTTTTGAAGTGCCATGAAAGTGAGCGCTGCATTTTTACATGCCTTGTTAAGTTAAATGATCTTCAACTTTCACACATACTGCAGCTCACAGTGGTGGACCAATCAGAAGAGCTCGGAGGCAGGGCAAGTTTTAGTCTGTAGCGTTATTTTACATTTGATTGTTGAATTTTAATACTATTAGACTCCATTGAAAACCAATTCTTTCATTTTTAGCATTGTTCTGTTGATTTTATTTGTTTAATTTAATTATTGTGTAATTTAGTATGCAGTAGGCATGGGATTAGGATAACTTTTTTCAGGTATACCGCGGTTTGGAAAAGTCAAGGTTTTAAAAATGTTTTTTTTTTTTTTTTTTTTAAGAAATTTGTGTTTTTTAAACTAATAAAGACAGCAGAAGTCGATTTATTTGAACAATTTACTGCTGCAAATTATTATAAATAAAATTTTAAATCTTTCAAAAAAAAAAACAAAGAAAAAAAATTGTTTTCAAAGGGAAATTGTGAGGCGGGAATCGAACTCGGTCGCCGTGAGCAACCGAGTGCAGCGTTGACGCATTAACCACAACGCCACTGGTGCAGACTACTCTCAGAATCTTATACCGGGCCATGCCTAGTATGCAGATAAAAATCCCCTACTAAATCATCCCCATCAATGTAAAAAAATCAATTCTTTCCAAATAGAGTCATCTTGTGAAATTATATTCATACCGCAGAAAAACGAAATATCGAAATGTCGTTTTTTCCAATATCATGAGGAACTGAAATATATGTGGTTGTTCAAGGTAGATATACTCAGAAGTCTTTTGTGTTTTGTCATTTGAATAAAATAGCTTGTCATGGGGGTGTTCACACCAGACTTGCGAGAATAAATCAAGCTATTCGTTCGTAATTAGACACATAAACATTTTGACTGTACTTGCTTTCTTCGCACGTCAAATTCACTTCAATAGTGGAGCAAATTCATCACACAATAGATGCAGATTCGTGTCATGGGCGGGGCATCTGTGTCCCTGGTGACTCTAGTTTTGTTGCGAAATGGCTAACATGGACATAATGAAGAGAGCAGCTGTGCTTTAAGTGCTTTAGGAAGGCTGAAAAACAGCATAGATGTATTCGGCGCCATGTCTGAGTCCACTAGATCCTTTCAGAGGTGCTCTGTGAGCTCATCAACTCCTCGAGGATGGTGGAAGCTTTCAGCGGTACTTCCGACTGAGCTGAACCAAGTTTGATGAGCTGTTGTCCTGTGTCGGCAAGAGGATTTTCCCTCAGGAAACAAACAACAGGTGCAACGTCATAATCATGCACCTACAAGAGTTGGTTAACGCGGCACAAACGTCTCCCAATGTTTTCCCAACTCAAGCGATTCACGTTAAGCGCGTCAAACTTGCAAAACGCTCGATTTGCATCACTTCATTCATGCGAATCGCATCATTCACACGCCTCATTCACACAAATATCGTCACAGGATGTCTATTCACGTCTTCGCATTGACTTAACATAAAGCATCAAGCACAAGTGATTTACATCCATGTCTGGTGTGAATGCACTATTAGAAAGAAATATCAGGGTATAGTCAGAGTATACTAGATATGCGGGTTTTATTTTAACAAAGTAATTAAATGACAAAGTAAATACATTTAAAAAGGTCAAAATGACCAACTCTGTAGTTCTAGTGTTAAACAATTTATGAAAATACACAATTTCAAATATTCACGGTGCTTTAGGTTTGGTTTGTGTCGCCTTTGTTGTGTTAAGATGCTTTAGGAACACTGTCGGTTTTCACCTCATTAGACTGCTTGCCACTGTAGGACATCTTCTTGATGGCCACCACCTCATTGGTGCGGATGTCATGGGCCTATAAGAAACGTGCAAATAAAAGCAGGAACACGTGAGCATTGAAGCACAGATAGTCACTTCATCTCTGTTCACTGAGCTGTGCATGGGCTCTGAATGGCCTAATGGCCACTTACAAAGTAGACGGCTCCGAAGCTGCCATGGCCGATCTCACGCAGGTCTGTGAAGAGCTTCTCAGGATCCTCCTTGTAAAAAAGTTCCGCCACCTCCGGGTCCTTGAGACTCCCAGCCCGCACACTCGACGGCATGGCCAGCGCCTGCACAAGCAAACACAAGACGAAGTTTGCATGTTAACATCAGAGGCAACAATATTAGCTTGACTTAAATCCTTATTTTAGATTGACTGGGTTGATTTTCTAAGGGAAAAATAATACAATACTGCAAAGTAAAAAGGTCAAATAAACAGTGCCTTATGGTTCTCTGGAGTTATAATTATTTTTTCGGGGTTTTCACCTTTATTTCTGATAGGACAGTAGAGAGAATTGACAGGAAAGCATGGGGAGCAGAGAGAGGGGAAGGATTGGCAAAGAACCCGAGGCGGAATCGAACCCGGGTCACCACGAGCACCGGAGTGCATGTGTCGACGCACTAACCACTACACCACTGGCGCCGACTTTCTGGAGAGTTAAACAGTATTCAGGTAGAGAAATCAAATTATGAAATGTAAAATAACACTGTAAAGTCTCTTTTATTAATAATTTTGTAAAATTGTTTGTTATTTAAGTTACAGATGTACTTTTGAGCGCAAATGTTTAAAACTCTTCTTTAAAACACATGCAAATTCTAAACTTTCAGTCTATTATGGATTAGTTCATGAACGATTCGTTCATTTGGAACGAATCTTCAATATTACTCGGGAACTATAGCTGCGTCCCAAATTGCACACTATACACTATGCACTATGTACTTATGCACTTACACACTCAACAGGATAGTATATGTATGTAATGGCGTCCCAAATGGCACACTAATGTTTTTTTACTAAGCGGAAATCCAAAGCGTTTCCCTGATGACGTTTGACGGTTGCCAAATCAGTGAAATCAACAACCGAATTATCAAATAATACCTGCCGTGAGTGTTGCCGCATTCACCATCGGGAGGCGCTATAATCACTCTCGTAGGAGAATTTTGCTTTCACCATCCAAAATAAATTAAGTTATTCAACATGTGCGTCCGATAGCTCCGCCCCTTCCGCTACGTAAGCAAACCTGCGGTCATTGAGTGCGTGAAGTGTCCATCATTACACACTTCATTTTAGCAGCTGAATGAGTGCATCATTGAGCACACTACTAACACTATTTATACTACAAAATGGCATAGAATAGTGCATAAGTATGTGATTTGGGACGCAGCTTGCAAGTCCTCCCTCAGGGAGTGATTCGTTCATCCGCGCGTGCACACATTTGTGCAGGTGGTATCGTTTATTTGAAGTCTTTTGAGTCGTTCATCGCGGAAAGGCAGAAGCCAATCATTTGCGTTTAGAGCCGGAAAAAGAATTGATCCGTTCATCTCTCGAGTCCTCTATCCGGCCTGAGTCATTCGTTCCTCACGGGCCAATCATATGCGTTTAGAGCTGGAAAAAGAATTGAATTGAAAGGTGAACTAATTATCATGGTTCCTATCAACTCAGACTGTGTACATTGGTTAAAATTATATGTGACTGTCAGTGTAACGTGAAGGAATCACTGACATTTGAAGACATGAAGAAGTGAGCTGAGCAAGGAGACAACAATACCTTTATAGACAAAAGAGCAGGTCAACATTGAATTATTATTTTCTCCAACTTATAGTATTCTATTGATGACTTATTTGTTGTGTGATCAACCTTTTGGGCTATTTGTAGATGTGTTAGGAAGCAATTCGTAACTTTTAATAATATTTTGGCAAATTGAACTAAATGAACGAAAGGACTCGAAAAAAGATTTGTTCATCTCGATGAACGAGACTCAAAGATCCGAGTCAGTAAAATGATCCGAACTTCCATCACTATTATGGATATACTATGCAATAACTAGGCCCTCACGGAATCTGCGTGTGCTGAATTCTGCAGATTTTTAGCCCATCATTAATTCTGTTTATTTACTTGTTTAAATTTTAAATTATTCAGTTTTTAAATTAATTCATTAATATTATTGACTAATATGAAAGTGTTCCTTTGATTTATTTACAATGCAGTTTGTAAAGTAATCATTTCTGTTATTTTATATGAGAGATTTGCTTTGTTTATCAAATAAAGTGAATCTAATTGGATTTGCACTGTAAACATTAAATAAAAGTTAAGATATTATTTTTTATTTCATTCATATATTAAGGTTTTAGTTAAGATACATCCAAAATCATTGTGCGGAAATCAGCAGATTTTTAACAAAATTCTGCGCAAAAATAGCCCAAAATTTTGTGTTTTTTTGCTGCACGTTGCATTATTGATGCTGAAACGATATATTGTGCAGTCCTAGATTGAATGCTAAAAACTTTCGATAAAAGCATCGATAATGTAAAATACGCAATAGTCACATACTTAAAAGACCTGTATTTGGCTGTGTTTTTAAATTCAGTTTAAGATTTCAAGTGAATTTAAACCATCCGGGCCCAAGAATGATCAAGCCTGTAGCTTTAACAAATAAGAATTTTATATAATTATTTATACAATGACGACTGATGTGTTATTTTATATTTCATTAAAAAAAATTCTGCATCTCAAATTGCTGTAAAAAATGCTGGGTTTCAACAATACCTTTATGTTTCCTCAACACAAATTAAGTTAACTTTACCTTTTTTATTTAAGTGGATTGAACATATAACAATTAAGTAGTCCCTTAAAAAAAACTTTAGAATAGTGTTGTTTTAGTTCATAAAGTAAAAGTAAAAAAAAAAAAAGTAAAAATTAAAATAAGTAGTTTGAACAAGCAGCAGAAGTCATTTTGAGTGTACAGTTTAAAGGAAAAAATAAACATTAACTCATTATTTACTCTCCATCAAACAGTTACAGACCTTTTAAGTTTCTTTATTCTGTTGAACACTAAGGCGATCATTTGAAGAAAGCCGAAAATCTGCACTCATTGACTTCCACAGTGGGAAAAAAAATTACTTATTGCTTTTCTTTTAAATATTTTCTTTTATGTTAAACAGAGAAAAGAAAGTCAAGCAGGTTTAGAACAACCAAAGCATGAGTAAATAATGACAGAAATTTCATTCTTGCATAAACTATCCCTTCAAGACTCCACAGAAAACCAAGTACTGTTTTCATTTTTATCTTTGCTCTATTGTTTTCATCTACGCTTTAAATTATTATACTTCCTTTTACGCAGATGACCTGCTCTACAAAACCATTCCAATCAATGCACTATTTTTAATTCTTTCCAAATAGTGCTATTAATTGTTATTTATTAAAATGGCATTCATATCACAACATGTAATCGCAGAAAACTAATTAATCTTAATGTCAGATTTTTTCTCAATTTAAACCTAAAAATAACAATTAAGACAAAACAAACAGGACAAATCAGCTGTAAATAATGTATTATGCATATAGCAAACTACTTAGGAATCTAAAGCACAGCTCACGCTCTTCACATCGGCAGAAATGTGGAAAAAAGCGGGCCAAGCCCTATATTTCTACAACAGATCATGAAAAATTTATCCAAGCAACCAATAATAGAAATATTCATCCATATTAAGAGGGCCATTCCCAAATACAGAGCAGAACATGGGCAAATTATCAAAGTCAACAAAGATAGGAACCCTTAGGAAAGTTTTGGATCTAGTGCAATTGAGTTAATGGTAGATCCGTTTATTGACCTTCATTCTGATCAACAGATATAAATTCATAAACCCCACTGTTTTCTGCTGAGGCAGAGAAAACATCACCTAAGATAATGGTTGCTTCTGAAATAGCATACTTTCATACTATATCGTATGCTAAAAATGATATACAAGACGGATACAATGTCGAATTCACAGTATTCGAAAAACAGTATACGAGAAGTACCTGGATGACCTACAATCTAATACACGTTACGCTTTCCCATGATGCACTGCAAGAGAATTCATGAATGGGAGTTAAGCAACGTGATCATGACAAAATGGCGAATGTAGTATGTCAGTTCCATTCATGCTACTCGCATTCATACTGTAAAGAACGCACTTTTTGAACTGTCGTGTAGTAAATTCATATTCAAATGCAGTACCAACTGAGTAGTAGGCGATTTCAGACGCAGCCAGTGTTAGGGATTGTGCGGCATTATGCAGTGCTTCCCACACATAGACTTCACTTGGGTGGGCCGCCACGTAATTTATTGATTTATTTATACTTTTTTTTACTATTATTGACATCCTTTTACAATTTTGTATCCGCCCAAGATAACCAAACATCCGCGATCAATTAAGTAGAGGAAAATCTTCTCTCGTTTACTAGTTTCGTTCTGTGCCTGAGAGACCAGTCAACAATCGTACAAACAATTTCACATCCTCTTTAGACCCACAGTTTTGGGACTTAAAAAACTTTTGGTTTCGGTTTCTAAAGCTCATATGCGTGTTTGCATTACTCTTTTATTAAAGACTACTTTCCACTTGGTTTCACAGCTGACAGCGCACGCACAGCCGTAATATCGAGAGAAAAAGTAAATGGATTCAATAATCAAAACGACTCAGAAAAACTTTACTATATACTCTGGGATAGGTTTGGGCGATGTCGACCAATTTGGCATCGTACGACATTTAATGTGAAACATCATGATGGACGATGGCATTGTCATCATAGGCGGGGGTTTGGGTGGTTGGAGGTGGTGTTTGACAGAGTGTGCGCGATGTGTCTGAAGAGCGAGGAGAGATCCGGTGGTGAGGGGTGAGAAGGGTACACGACTTATTTAAAGACCGGGAGGGAACCGCACAGTTTACGGGAGATTATCACTCATTTGCAGGCATCCGGAACTTCCGGGAGACTTGGGATGCCTGAATATCACGTTTAACTATAGTGAGATGCAATCCAGCAGTACATCCTTGACATACTGTCCGATGCACACTGCTCACTGGAGCTCAGACGAGCGCATTACAGTGTGTGTGGCTGAGTGTGTGGTCACATGATGTGCGTTTTCAGCGGATGGAGGGCTGTTCATAGAAATGTTGTTAGTAAAACAAGTAAAACACGGTGTGGACATTGATAATTTTCGTTCTAAAATGCCATTTTAACACTAAGATGTATTAGTATAAGCAGGGCCTAAGTGTGTATTTTACGCGAGCGGATTTGCGACGGGGGCGG